ACAGCGCTGCCATGACGCGGATGAGCAGACCAAACATTGCTGCTGTTGGACTGAAGCTGAGGTTTCTGTGTTAGCGTTGTCTGGCGTTTAACCGGTTAGTGGCACTAAAAGGTTGGAGATCGCTGCTCTAAAGCAGGAAAGACTTTGTTGTTGGAGTATGAAATAACATCAGTCCTGTGAATACATCGTATTGTACCTTGGGCTCATTTCCATCCGTTGTCCAACAGCTGAACTCACAAACACTGAAATAATTCATGTTTTTAGTAATATGGAAAACAGATGCATCTACTGAGACAGGGAGAACATGCAAACTCCATGCAGAAAAGGGGGCTCTGTGGAGGAGAGGGCCTGCTGCAGCTGTGGTCCTTATGGGCATGTGGTGGCCTGCGAATACGCTCTGAGGAGAGGCGACTGCAGCTGGTGCGCTTGTGCTAATCTTGTCGTCAAAGACCAGAGCATAGTCTTCTATATTGATTGTAATGCACTTAACTGTGCTCGTTTCACGAGGGCACAAGAGTCTTTATAACGTGCAGCGCTTTTGAAGGCAGGGCCCAGCTTTACCTTGTGTGAATATACTGCCAGCTTCACTGTGTGCGTTTATGTGTGGTTTCCATGGCAATGCGGTCACTTAAAAACGTTTCTGGCCTATAAAATTAATGTATGAAGCATTACTGAATGACCAGAGTCAGAGCTGTGTTCGCATCTCCAGCAGTAGGTCAGACCTGTTTGCAGCCAAGGCTGCCCTTTGTCACCGATTCTGTTCACTGTTTTTAATGGAATTTCTAGGCGCAGCAAGGGGCCAGAAGGAATACGTTTTGGAGACCACAGGATTTAGTCGCTGCTGTTTGCAGACGATGTTGTCCTGTTGGCTCCAACGAACCAGGACCTGCAACATGCACTGGGACGGTTTGCAGCCATGTGTGAAGCAGCTGGGATGAGAATCAGCACCTCTCTGAGGCCATGGTGCTTGACTAGAAAAAGGTGCCTTGCCCTCTCCAGTTGGGTGGAGAGATCCTTCCTCAAGTAGAAGAAATAAAGTATCTCAATGTCTTGTTCAGGAGTGAGGAAAAGATGGAATGTGAGATGGACAGATGGACTGGTGCAGTGAAGCGGTCGCTGTGTTGGATAATGAACAGGAGGATAGGTTCATAAGTTCATAGTTTACTTTTAATCATGAACGTGTGAATTTTTTGTCCATTGTTGCAATAAAGATTGCATTAAAAACAACTTCTAAATATATGGCAACGTGCCTCTCTTGTAGTCCTCAGACGTTCACTAGAATTACACTGTCCAAACACCAAACTGGCATGACAACTGAATAACAAACAGATAGTAAAGTATATAATGTTGTTAACTACATCACACTTATATAGTTAACAAAATATAGATACTCAATAATATTTTTTTCTACACCTACATTCAAATTTGCATTCAAAATATTCTCAGTCTTAGTCAAGTTCACACAATGTTAGTGAGCGTAATCTACTTGTGCGTCTTCTGTAGTCATGGAGACAGCAGAAGTGTGTGTCCCAGGTCAGTGTGGGATTAGAGGAAGTGATGAAGTTATGTAACCTATCCGACCTCTGTGTGCAGAGTGCAGGCAGGGAAGGGTTAACGCACAACACATAAATGCACTCAGCAGCACATGGGGGTGGGGGTGCTGACGGCAGGCTCTTCCATTCTGTGCACACACCGGGGCTCAGTCTGGGATCAATGATAGGACGCGACAGACTGGAGTCATGGTGATGGGGCATGTCCACATCACAGCATTCCTGCAGCATTTCTACATGAACATGATTATTAGGAGGACAGTAATAATTTGCCCGGGATAATTCACACACATTCACCAGTAAATGTACTTCTTTAACACTAACTAACCATTTGCAAGGGGATCGAATCATCGCAATGAATTGTGAATTGTAAGACCTGCATTGTGAATCAAATGGAATCATGTTTTTTCTCATTTGTTATTTTACCTTCTACACATTTTGAACATTTCTAATTGATCTACAAATATAAATAGAATCCAAGTCTGCTCCCGGAAAAATCACAAGGATTGGACAAAATATCCACAAGATGAGAATTGAGAGGGAAATTGGATTATTGTTATTAAAATATGTGTTAAATGAATACACATTTTAAGGCTGTGCAATTAATAAAAATTAAATTACGATTTTGATTATTACACTCAACATTACAGAAAAGGCAGAATCGGGAACAAACAATGATGCGTGCATGAAAAACCCTCCCCGTCTCAACAGCAGCTGGTTCTGAGTCTGCATACCTGCAGCCTGCTGGCTCTCTGATCTGCTTCGTGTTCTCCGCTACTTCCATGCACATTGGGTTTATCTGTGCTTTTTTACTTACACACTGGAGTTTTGGAGAAAACACTTGTTTGTTTGTTGTCACTTGCAACACCTCATGGAGAACAGCGTGATACAGAACGTTTCTTCCCGGTTTTTTTGTTTGAAAACCAGATTTGGGGAAAATTGCGCAAAAACTGGGATTTTCTTTTTAATCACATTAAACGGAGCTAATGGCCTTTCGTGCTGCTATTCACAGAAAAACACGGCACAAAGTACAGCCATGTCACGAATATTGTAATATTTGGTATAGATTAGAGTTTCATATAAGGGGACCTCAAAAACATGACCAAAAGTGGGACAAAATGCAATGTTTTGGTTCACAAATAATCTGATTCAAAGTTCTCACCAGGATACTTCATTCATAATTGTGAGCACCCTGCAAGTCACCATTCGCCCATTGGGCTGAGAGCAGAATGTCTCTGCTTCACATTTGTCTGAAAAAGCTGATCTAAAGATGTGACTGGCTAAAAATGCATGCATCCTAAAACTAGAGTTAGAAGTAGACTGTTTTAGCCAGGAACTGGTTACATTTTATGTAACTAAAATCTATGTAACTAGATTCCAATGTTGTGGGTTTTTTCCAAACTTTAAAGGCCTTAAACTTTAAGGCCCTGTTCTGGCTCTTCTCTGGATGCTGTAGCTGGTCACAGTGTGAAAAACTTCAATTACAACAGATGTTTTACCTTGAAGCATTGGTAAGGTAGTGACTTTCTGGTTGCACTTGCCAATTAGTTGGTTCTCACTCTGGTGGTGACTTTTCTAAGTCACCTCACTTTCGCATCTTGCAGAGGCAACACTGACACGCAGTAAGTGCATTTTTCTTCTCTGCCCAAACCGTGGAAACCCTGGGTCATTGCTACAGTATTACAGTATTGTTTATAATAACATGTACATTTAATTGTGTTCTTTTGACAAATTGTTTGAGCAGTGCATGGGAGGGCAGTGGACAGAGCACTTTCATAATCCAGAGTGTTCCTGACAGACACGCTCCTCACACACAAAAAGTGTGTGTGCTTCATCATCAAACTTCATCACATGGTTACATAATAATAATAATAATAATGCATTGATTTTATATAGCGCTTTGTCAGGACACTCACAGAGACGCTTCACATGACATTATTCTTTCACTCCATACACTGTGGTGACAAACTACAACTGTAGCCACAGCTGCCCTGGGACACACTGGAAGAAGATTTTGGGTATCAAATGACTTTTCCAAAAACATACCAGAAGCTGCATAAACTGACAGCTAAGACTGAAGTTCTCTGAGTTGTAAGAGAACACACTGGGAGAGAAAAAAACCTCTAAGTCATGGGGTATGAACAGCATGCATGCACATCCTGATGTGTTGTTGACATTGTTGTGTCATTAAGCTAAGAAAAATTAAGTGCTAATTAGAATACCTTAACCGTAGCCCTAACCCACGTGGGAAACTGTCAGTTAGTTAGATGCTGAATAAGGCCATGTAAAATAAGGACTAATAAGTGCTTAATAAATATCAATTAATAGCTAATTAACCATAAATGTATTAATCAGCACTTCATTTGCGGTTGCTAGTGAACAGCAAGGGATAACATAATTGTGTGACCAACATAATTTTGGCCGCTGCTCTAGAGTCTATGGTCTTGTCTCATTGGGATTGTGATCATAATAATCTTGTAAGGTCTTGAGTCGACTGGTCAGTAACAATCCAAAATATGGTATACACTAGGGCTTGGCGATATGGCAAAAGTAAAATCTTGATTTTATTTATTGCATTGGACGATTTCGATTTTAAATCGATTTTCATTAAAGTCATCGAAGACAGACTGTGCCCTTAAACATATTTTTGGATCTTTCCGCTCAATATTCAAGTTTCAAACCTATAATTTGTTTCCCCCAATATGTATTATATAAGTCTTGTACGGACTGTGCTGATATTGCAGGTATAATTCATGTGCTGCTGGAACTCTCACAGTATCCTTCATTCGATTTCACAATTCTCACATTTTTCACATTTTTTTTTTTTTTCAAAAGCCGATAAATTGCCTAAATTTGATTTATTGCCCAGCCCTAGTATACACCTAGAATAAGCAATTCCGATAGTTTCAACACTAGAACTCCCAGAGCAGTCAATTTGAAGGGTTTTAGTTTTAGAAGTTGAATGACGCATCTCATTGCGTCAGATTCTTGGTCTTCACACTTGTTCTATATCTTTATAAAGTCGGTAATTCTTTTTTTTTTTTTAATGAAAATATCATTTATAATGTGAGTGGTTCTACCTTTAACACATTTTCAGAGAACGTCAAGTGCCAGTTACCATAGCAACACAGTGTCAGAAGTTAGCATTAGCCTTAATTTCGCTGTATTTCAGCTGCAGCGCAATGAATTTCAAACCAATGAATTTCTCAGAATTCATTGGTTTGAATGAGAGCAGTCAAAATGACGGCTCTGAGAGTTCAGTATTATGAAAGTCCTAGAGCCTGTGTGGGGCTCGTTTCCATGGAGATATCAAAGTTTGATTTCCTTTTGTCACACATTCCAGGCAACAACAACACAACCCAATGGAATATCTATAAACTAAAACAATGCGTGTTATATGTGTTCCTTTAATCCAAACAAACATGTTTACTACTCAAAGAGAGGACTCACCTGGTTGAGATCTTGGTCGGTGAGCAGATGGAGCTCTCGGGGCTTAAAGCAGTTCTGACACTTGCTCTTGTTGAAGAAATTCGCTTGGAATTTCCTGCACGGATTCTCCTTTGCGGTAGACATGTCTTTGCACCGACGCGATAGCCAGACCCCAGCTGCTGTCCTACCACTATTACTACTATCCCGATCTAGCAACCAAACACTGCTGCTGCTGCTGATGCATTATCTTAGGCCAGAAGATCCGTGTCAGGATTTGTCTGCATCAATTCCACTGCATTTTCCATGAAACAATCAAATGGCCTTGAAACAGCTTTCCATGGCTTTAGGATTGCAGCTGCGCCCACCACAAAGCGAAAAAGTGGCTAGTATCCTGTTAGCTCCTCCACCGCTGCGAGTGGGTGAGTGGGCTTCCCAAAGCAATAAGGCGTTTTGATAATCACTTAAAAACAATGTGATGAAGAATTCCAAATCCACAGAGGAAACCTCCATAGAATAACAACAGACTCCCGCGTAAGTTTAAGGCAGTCGAAAGCCCCGATATTGGGAAAAACAAGCTGCAATCCAGGCTTTTATCACAGGTCTCCCCATCCGAAGTTCATCCACAGCTGCGACTCCCTGATGCTAGGCTAAGGGTAGCACAGGTAGCATAGCCGCTGGAAAAAAAATAACCCCGTTAGCGTTTCAAAAGTAACAAAAATATAAAATGGTCCCGAATCCCGAATGTTCTTGTGTTTGCGTAACTCCACGGAACGAGCGGTGCATGGGGGCCGGCTCTCGGGGCCCAGTGTCCCGCGGCAGAGTCAGTGCTCGGGCTGTGCTTCCATGGCTAGCCCCGTTAGCTGCGCTGGTGTCGGTGGTACAGAGCGGAGAGGTGGGAGAGGACAGCCGAGAGAGGGCAGGGGCAGGGAGGGGAGAAGGGATCAGGCTGCCCGGCCCTGTGGCGTCCTCCACTGGTGAGCATACGAACTACAAGCATATTCAGGTAACGTGACATTCAGACATACACATATTAGTGCTGTCACACGATTAAAGTATTGAATGTGTCATAGTTATCTTGTGATTAATCGAAAATAATCGCACATTTTTCCCTGCTCTAAATGTCCCGTGATTTGGGTTGAAAAGGGATTGGACAAAGCAAAAAGCTTATATTATAAGCTTTTTGCTTATAATATAATGCAAAAAAGTATTTGCATTGTCTAATATAGGCTTCTCAATCTCTGCTTTTGTTTGTTGTTGGTTTTTACAGAGTGAAGAAGGTTCTGGGTTCGAATCCCGGTCGGAACAGGGCCTTTCTGAGCGGAGTTTGCATGTTCTCCTCGTGTCTGCGTAGGTTTCCTCCGAGTGCTCCGGTTTCCCTTACCACTAAAAACATGTGCAATATATTCAGGGTGAAAGAGTGTGTGTTTGTGAGTGTGAATGTGGGACAACGGATGCAATTTAGCCCATGGCTACAATCTGGAGTGATGTGTTCATTAACAAGTACTGTCCCAACCAAATAAACAGTAAATAAATAAATAAGTAAAATGAAGCTTCAACGTTTGGGCTGTGACCTGGAGATAAGATGTGATTCCTGATTGACGTCCAGTAATCACCAGTGAGCATGACGGTTTTTGTTTTCTCCAACGCCTGCTGTACCTTACATCCCCTACACAGCACATGTGTGTTTTGAAGCAGAAAGGCTAGAGCTGCACTGCGCGAAGGCGGCTGCAGGGAGGATAACAGATGCGTCCCTGTGGTAGAAGCCTGGAGCATGGTTTTTTATTACATAGTTCCATTGTTGATGCCCAGCTTTAACTAATATTTTGTTTACATTTGATTTGATGTTTTCCGACTTGACCCACTATTGCATCTACCCCCCACCCCCTCACCCCCGGTACACATTACAGAAGTCGCACAGTCTGGTTCACTGCTGAGTCTGGTTCACTGCTGAGTCTGCTCTGTCTATTCTGGGCCCCTGCCCCAGCCTCCTGTCCTGCTCTTTGTGGGTCAAAACGGCTGGACACTAACAACCGAATAGACTCGAGAGCTGTTAGAAAAGTAATCTGGGAATAGAACCACAACCCTCCGAGAGGATTAAGCCCCTCTGCACGCCACAGCGCTGCTCTCATTCTGCAAAGGCAAGTGGAAACAACCAAGGTATAGATCTGGCATGCCAAAACAATTCTTCAAATGGGTTCTTGTTTAATTGTGGAATGTTTTGAGCTGAAGGAGACGTAGAATGGAGTGGCCTTGACCCTGAAAGTGTCTTGTGACGTATTCTTAAGAGCAGGGAGTATATTTAGCGTGTTCTCTATAAAGCAAGTCCTTACATGGACTCACAATGAGCTTAAAGGCAAAAGTGGGAACAATAGTATGAATAATATATGAAGTTGCTTTTCCAGTGACATCATTATACTTCAAAGCTGGAGTACCTACCTTTTTATGTTGTCCAAGTAAAAGAAAAGTCATATGAACAAATCAGACCATTAAAGTGAGATTATCTTTTGATAGTTTCAAATTTAGGTTCTCCAGCTTTAGCAAAGAAAAAATAATGTTGAATTGATTGTATTATTTTTGTATATAGGTGTTTATGACCTGCAGAGATTTATTTGTGGTTATATCACTGGTTTGACAACATTTCTGTGACTTCAAACCGAAGGAAGTTAAACAATAGTTCAATTTTCTGTAATTTGATGAAAATAATTTTTGGTAGTCTAACTTTGATTTCATAGATAGATAGATAGATAGATAAATAGATAGATAGATCGATACTTTATTGATCCCCGTTGGAAAAATGCAGGTGTCCAGCAGCAGAAAACACATCCATATAAACACATACGTACATAAATTTTAAACATTTCTAAGTAGCAACATTTTTTGCTAACTAGTAAACTCTTCCAGGTCCGAAGGAACAAAGGCTCTCTTAAAACGCTCCGTTCGGCAGTGCAGTGAATTGATAGGAGCCTGTTGCTACGATAACTCCTCTGAGCGGCCATAGTGTCTGGAGTTACCCAGGATGCACTGCTTTAGAGTGCATAGGCTGGGGTTTTCATTCTGCTGTCAGAGGTCCAGATTGAAAACAAGATATAGCTTGAAATAAGAATAAATATGTTTGAAAACTATAGAGAAGGTTGTCATTTTCTATCAGAAATCCAGGCTGCATACGTTGTTGGTATCACACTAGCGCAACTGGTCTTTTGTGGTCTGTTAGGTGAAGCAAATTATGTTGCAGCAAGCTAAAAGCAACAAGATGTCCATTTCAATGACCACAAGGTATATCTTGTATCAGATTACTCTTCAGAATTGCAGAGGAAAAGGAAGAAAGTCAGCGAAGACCTGATAAGATAGAACATTGAAGTCCACTGTCCATATCCTGCCACGCTAAGAATATTTCTGGCATCTTGTATTCAAGTTTTCCCTTAGAGACATTAGTGGATGCACCATCCACACTAGAATAGTTTGAGGTAGGAGTGGGTCTAGTACAGTGTTCCCCAACCTTTTTGAGCCATGGCACACCTTTTTAATTGCTAAAATTGTCACGGCACACCACCAGCTAAAACTGATGCAAAAATGAAAACTCTGCAGCCTTTAATAAGAAAGCAAAGTAATTATCATCAAAGTGTGTCATAGAAAATCAAACAAACACAATAATTTGTTCTAATCTTCTGACATTGTTTTCTTTTCACCTTATTTAGACCCGAACAAGCACATTTCAGGCATATAGAGGCAATTGCGGTGAAAAGGCCAGGGCTCATTCTAGGCACCAGGGCATTGCTGGAGAATGTATTTGGAAGAACTTTTAATTTGGTATATTTTTATGTGTTTGTGTGCGTTTTAGATAAAGAAAAGGTAAGAAATGTCAGTTAAATAGATCATGCAGAAGATAAACACAGTGATATTTGAAAAGTGAAAAAAATGTGTATTATTCACAGAAAATGTGCAAAAAATATGTAAAAACCAAATTAGGCGTGTGTAAAAAAAATAAATGCATAAAGTACACAATACATTTGTTGTACATCCTTATTTTGCAGAAATAAATGCCTTTAAACACTTCCTATAACTTTCAATTCTGTCTGGATTCTGGAGGAAGGTATTTTGGAGCATTCTTCTTTGCAAATCATCAGTTCAGTCAGGTTTGGTGAGATTCTGAGCAAAGACAGCCCGATTTAAATCACATCCCTAATGTTCAATAGTATTCAGCTTTGGGGACTGAGATGGCCACTCCAGAACGTTGTGCTTGTTACTCCTTGATGGTTTTGGACTAAATTACACTTTCTCGTGATGCGCAGGTCTGTGTTTCAGCCTCCTTCACGTTGGGACAGCCTTAGACTATGCTTCCACTGGTGGTGCTTCTGCCCCTGCTCATCGTGGTGGCTGCAGGGGTCTACTACGTGTACAATGAGTTCCTCCTCTACATGTCCAACGCACAAGTCCGCAACAAAGTGGTGGTCCTGACCGACGCTGTGTCTGGGGTGGGCTCAGGTACAGTGTTTTAATACACCTACAGTCTTCCTATGTAGAGATAACCTTTTGGTACATTTGAAATCTAAATATTGATCGAAGTCAGGGGTCTCTCAAGGTTGAGTCTGGGTGAAGCTGGGATGCACTAAGGGGCTGTGCACACGCAACTTTACTTTGCACACGCAACTCCTGGATAAATGTATTATACTGCTACATTTCAAACTCTGCATATTCTGATTCTTTAACATTAACACTAGAGAAAGTCTGGGCTCATAACAGCGACATGATCAGGAAAACCAAAAATCAAGCATTTGTGGAAAGTTTTATAGTTCATTCTTTGTGTCTATGACTTTTAAGAATCATTAAGGTATTTTTACCCAATAATAAGTAAGTAATGTTAATTTATATACCGCCTTTCACAGATAATAACTGTTATTGTGCTACAAAAAGTTTTGAAAAATAAGTCAAATTGCTCAAAATTGGCAACATTTATCTTAAATTGAGCGCATTTAGACTGCCTTAAAATAATAGTTGCCAATCCGACAAGCCAAATGATCTTCCTTGGAATAATAAAACAGTTCTTGAAATAAGACTAAATGACTCTAGTCAGAACTAATTCAAAATAATTTCCACCTCCTAGCCTTTCTTTGTGTCGTTTGCATGGGCTCCCTGTGTCAGCATAGGTTTCCTCCAGGTGTTCCGGTTTTCTCCAGGTGCTCCGGTTTCCCCTACTACTGAAAACATGTACAATAGGTATGAATATAGAGAGTGAATGGATGGTGTTGGTGTTTGATGCTCCAGTGTGTTTGGCGTCTCGCTTCCGTCATCACTGTGTGTGAAGAGAATGGAAACATTTCTGAACACTGAACGTAGAGCTCTTTGGGTGACCTTGGTCTGGAAAATGCACTATATAAATTAATCAATTCAAGCAATTATAACCTCATTTTATTTTATTTTTTAGATGAGTTTGGTATAGTTGATGTATATTTTTATGAACAAATTGACTCCAGCTGCTGTGTTTGAAACAAAAGACAAAGACAAAAAAGCATTACGGGTTTGTATTATGGAATGGGTATAATAATTTATTAAGTTTACTTTGCATTATTGCTTATTGCGTTCACGATTCAAAGTATATGGTAAACAAATAGTGTGGCTGATTTGGTTTTAAAATTAGCCACACAGACATTAGAGGGGACCACTAGGGGACCACTTGGGGAACACAAAATACCTTTACGCGGGCTGCAAATGGCCCCCGGGTTGTATGTTCCAGTCCACTAATCTTAATAAAACAATGTAATAAACATGGTCTCACCAAAGGCTCCTGCGGGCTCTGCTCAGACCACAAATTCAATTCAACATATTTTTTTCTCACAGAATTAGAAAAAGAGTTAGAAAAAACACAATAAAACTGACAGTGTGACGATGTCATGTTGTGTCATGTGGTGTCCTGCAGAGCTGTCGCGGCTCCTCCATCGCGGTGGTGCGCGCCTCATCCTGTGTGGGACCAGCTGGGACAAACTGGAGTCTCTGTACGACACACTTTGCACAGATGCAGACCCCCGAGAGGTGAGGGACCAGAGGCCTGAGGGGACAGGGCCTGAGGGGACAGGGCCTGAGGGGACAGGGCCTGAGAGGACAGGGCCTGAGGGGACAGGGCCTGAGGGGACAGGACCTGAGGGGACAGGGCCTGAGAGGACAAGGCCTGAGGGGACAGGGCCTGAGGGGACATTACCTGAGGGGACAGGGCCTGAGGGGACAGGGACTGAGGGGACAGGGACTGAGAGGACAAGGCCTGAGGGGACAGGGCCTGAGGGGACATTACCTGAGGGGACAGGGCCTGAGGGGACAGGGCCTGAGGGGACAGGGCCTGAGGGGACAGGGCCTGAGGGGACAGGGACTGAGGGGACAGGGACTGAGAGGACAAGGCCTGAGGGGACAGGGACTGAGGGCAGGGCCTGAGGGGACAGACACCTGAGGGGACAGAGACCTGAAGGGACTAGTTTCACCTGCTTTATGAAAGTAGGTAATCATTTTTACGTACCCACTTCTAATAAGTGCTAACACTCCTTACTATAACTTCAAATAGAGCAAAAACTAATTTGCTGTGGCAATGATTGCTCACTGCTGAGAGTAAACAGTATGTTGCCATGGGAACTAGCCCTTGGCCTTCTCTGGTGGAACTGCGCTGAGATTTATACAGATACTCCCACTAATTTATTATAGTATATTATTATTATAATATACCACACACACACTTGCTCAAGCTCAGCTGGGGGAGCACGCGTTTTGACGTTTCTGCTCTGTTTTACCCTTTTTTAAGCCTTTTAAAGCCTTTTAAACACGTTTTTACGGTGTATTAGTGTCTTTTGTACACTCTAGTGTTTTATTAATGGTTCCAGAGCATCACGTCTTTTAACACAAAGACCCAATCGAAACGCGCTAGCTACCACGAGCGCACCACAGACATGGAAAGTGACACTGCAATGACCACGAACGACATTAGTCGCCTCACATTGGAGCTTCGTGAGAGGGACCGTGCCACTATTGCAGACCTCCGTAAAGAAGTCCTTCGCCTCACTGCAGAGCTACAGGATAAACAGTCACTCGTGTCCAAACTTTTTGATGTCGCTGGCGGGCAGCACTCACGGCTTATGTCACTGAGCGCTGCATACTGTGACACTGTCGTGTGGGAGAGATCTGTCAGCTCTGGGCCCTCTTGCTCTACACCTAAGTGCCCGGTTCGGAATAAAGAGCCTGCGGACTGCGAGGAGCCATCCAGCGCCGTGGCCCATGTCCTGAGCCTGTCAAACCGCTATGCAGCCCTCTCCGCTGACATTCCAGCCCCCTCAGCAGAACCCCTGGACTCTGCAGCAAACTCTACTGCTGTCCGTGGATCCAGGTCCACTGTGAGAAAGACACTCTTAAAGGAAGCTGTCCTCAGACGAAAGAGTGGTCATTCCCCTTCTCTGACCCCAGTGCATCACCACCACTTACCTTCACCGGGTCAGCAGCAGCGATCCGAGCCTGCTCCTCACGCCGCTCCAGCGTCCCCGAGCACACAGCGTGGGTTGCCCGGAGCTGGGAATCAACACCCCCACTCCTCTCCATGTGTTCAGCAGCGCCCTGGTTCGGACCCATCCCTGGATGAGCCCGCTGGTTCTGGCCATGGACACCGAGCGCCCTCTCCGCGGCCGCGTCCACTCTTCGCCCCGACTACTTTGATTGTTGGAGATTCCATCGTGAGGCACGTCCGCTTTTTTAACGCGGTCACTCACTGCATTACCGGAGCCACTGTCCCAGACCTGCTCATCCGTCTCCCTCCTCTGCTTCAGTCCCTGCCTGATACCATTTCAAAGGTAATCGTGCATGTGGGGATCAACGACATGAAGCTGCAGCAGTCCGAGGTCACAAAGAAGCATTTTATGGATCTATTCCGCCTCCTCTAGTCCTTCGGGTTGTGTGTTTTTATCTCTGGTCCAGTCCCGACTGTAAACCGGGGTGACTGCCTCTACAGTCGCGTTGTGGCGCTCAACATGTGGCTCCAGTCTACATGCAGCACTTTTAACTTTATTTTTGTGAACAACTTTGGCCTGTTCTGGAAGCGTCACGTGGCCTATCGTCCAGATGGTCTGCACCCGAACAGATACGGCACCAGTTTGTTGACGGACTTCCTACGCCATGTTGTTCAGTGCTCCCCGAGGGGGCGTGACTGTTTACATCCGAGGCTTCTCGGCCCCCACTACCCCCCTCCTCCTCCTCCTTACCAGCACCGGGTGAGTACTGTGGTGCAAACACTGACCCCTGTCAGTCTGGCAGTGTAACGACAGTCCTGCCACTGAACTGTGCTGACTCAGTTATGCATCTGGAACTTAACAAAGTACAACAGAGTTCACTTTTTAAACCAATAGAGACTGTGTGTGTTTCTCGCACCAGCTCAGAAATGTGTTTTAACTTGAATAAACACAAATTTAAAAGAAGGACAGCAGTTAGACGGTCCAACTCTGGAAATCTAATTCCAGTTCTTTGTAATCAATCAACTAAACCCATTGACACTGATATTAATTTTAACCTTGCTCTACTTAATGTCAGATCACTATGCAACAAATCATTTTTAAATAATAATTTTATCTGTTCGTATGATCTTGATTTTATGTTTATGACTGAAACATGGCTTGACCATAATACAGGAGATGCAGATTTAATAGAAGCCTCACCACCAAATTTCAAATTTGAACATGAAACACGAGAAAATAAAAGGGGGGGGGGGCATAGCAGCAGTTTTTAAAGATCGTATTGTCTCCCATAGAGTGTCTCTTGGGAAATTTTCATCATTTGAGTATGTTTCTTTTAAAATAGAACAAAAGAAATCTTCTTCCATTCTTATTATTGTTGTGTACAAGCCGCCACAGTCATGCCATAGTTTCACTGATCATTTCACTGAGTTGCTTTCAGTTGTGTGCACAGATTTTGATGGTTTGGTCATTGTAGGTGATTTCAATATACATGTAGATAATGCTAATGATAGATATGCAATAGAGCTGAGCTCTGTGCTGGAAACCTTTGGTCTCACTCAGCATGTGAGTGGCCCCACCCACAGTTCAAATCTGTTAGATTTAAGTGCTGCTTTTGACACTATTGATCATGGCATCCTCATTCAGAGACTTGAGGACTGGGTTGGTGTTGCTGGCACCGCCCTAAGCTGGTTTAGGTCCTATTTACAAGACAGAAAGTTTTTTGTGGAGATCGAAAACTGTACCTCAGACCACTTGGCCCTGACCTGCGGAGTGCCACAGGGGTCAATCCTGGGTCCTCTTCTGTTTAATATTTACATGTTGCCTCTAGGTCAGTTGATTCACAGTAATAATGTCTCTTATCACAATTACGCTGACGATACTCAGGTCTATGTGTCCCTGACAGCAGGAGAGCATGAACCAGTGGACTCGCTCCTTCACTGTGTCCAGAAAATCGGTGATTGGATGCAAAAAACTTTCTCCAACTAAACACCGACAAAACTGAAATAATTGTTTTCGGACCCCAGAAACAAAGAGAGAGCGTTATTTGTCACCTCCAGGCTCTCTCTCTACAACCCTCAAATCAGGTCAGAAATCTAGGAGTGATAATGGACTCAGACTTAAATTTCAAAAGCCACATAAAATCTGTAACATCAGCAGCTTATTACCACCTAAAAAAACATTGCTAAAATTAAAAACATAGTGTCTAAGGCAGACTTGGAGACTCTTATACACGCTTTTGTCTCCAGTCGGTTAGACTATTGCAATGGCCTGCTCACAGGTCTGTCCAAACAGGCTGTAAAACAGCTGCAGTACATTCAACATGCAGCAGCTCGAGTCCTAACCAGAACTAGGAAGTACGACCACATTAGTCCAGTTCTCAGGTCTCTGCACTGGCTTCCTGTTCCTCAGAGAATAGACTTCAAAGCAGCTTTACTTGTGTACAAGTCTCTCCATGGTCTCGCGCCAAGGTACATCCATGACATGTTTGTGCCATATGAACCGACCCGGACTCTGAGGAGCACAGGGACTGGACTCCTGTTAGTGCCCAGAGTCGGTACTAGACATGGGCAAACTGCATTTCAGATTCATGCGGCTAGAGTCTGGAACAGTCTTCCTGGGAATGTGAGACAGGCGTCTACTCTGGCATCTTTTAAATCTAGGCTCAAAACAATTCTGTTTAGCTGCGCATATACAACTGAATGATTTTATCTTTTCATCTTTGTTTTTATCTTTAATCTTTTTAATGCACTGTGACTATTTATGATTTTAGTCCCATCTGTGATTTTAATGTTTAAAGGTTTTTAATTTTTGTGATTTTATTTTTAATGTTTTTAATATATCTTGTGCTCTTAATGTGTTTGATTTATGCATGATGTGATAGGGGATGTGAAGCGCTTTGCGTTGCCTTGTGTAGGAAAGGCGCTCTACAAATAAACGTTGATTGATTGATTGATTGATTATCATTTCATAACATTTTGACAGAAACAAACTTCATGATGATACACAGATGAAAATCAGCCTTCATGGCTTCTGGCATTTTTTACATGGAGATATGCTGATTAATGTGCACATGTCTCATTCAAATAAATAAACAAACAAATAAATGTATCAATACAGAAAAAGGTACACACATTGAGTAACTATACTTCCAAAACCAAAACCCGTCAACTTGTCTGCTTTGGGAGTTCTAATCTTAAATCACAGCTGACAATGTGGGTGTTGTTCTTTTAGTTGTTAAAAATCCTGTGAAGTCTTGACCCCATGGGTTCGTGTCAGGCAGAGCTATTGAAAGGCTCATGCAGGATATAATCTTAATCAGTTTATAATCCAGCACATCCTGGTGTCAGGCTGTTTACTACTACAAAAATATTAATAGTACATATTATGTCAAAATACTTTGAGAGGAGAGCCACGTTCCACATAGTATCAGCCTACACCAGACTGTGTAGTACCCAGTGGGGGCGGGTCCCAGCTCAAAAGTGGCCAAAATGACGTGCGCTGACATGCTTGCAATATCACCCCGGGCCGATGGGGGTGGACCCAGAAGAAGAATTAGCCAATGCTAACATATAGCGTTGGCAGACTTCTCAAAAACGTCTTTACAGGATGGACCAAAAGTTGGCTCTGGGCCCAAAGCTCCGTTCCACATGTGTGTCAATGCTGAGGGGGGTGGATTATTTTGGTCCACTCTAGTTTACTCGCTGTGAATTTTTTAAGTCTCTCGTTCAAATGAATGGAGCTGCGCCGGCTGACGCATGTACAGATGCGTTTTTTCACAATTTTCTTGTGGGCGGGACCATTCATGGCCATCTTGGATTGCTCCATGAAAGCACTTTTCATGGCCAACTCCTATGAACGGCGGAGATAGGCGTGACTCTGTCCGTTATTATATACAGTCTATGGTAGTACCTAACCTAAACTACATGTTGAAAATCTTCTGAAGCAGATTCTGCAGAATCAGTGAAAATTACTTTCCCTCCACCTAAACAAGTAAATAAACACTGGAATAAAGACCAGTTTTCTGAATAATAGACATTAAGAATCTTCTGCCATGAATCTGCACTGCAAAGTGTATACAGGAGGTAGAATAAAGGATATACAATTGCTTGACTTGTCAAAATGTTCTTGATATGAGTACTTCCTGCCTTATATTTGAGCCTGTCTTGCAGTGTGTTTTGTGTGAGTGATTGGGTCCTCCCTCGCAGACCGCGGCCCCGAAGCTGCTGCTGCTGGACTTCAGCGAGCCGGACAGTCTGGAGGAGGTGGTGGCGGAGCTGGTGGACTGCTATGGCTATGTGGACGTCCTCATCTGTAACAGCAGTACCAAGGTCAAGGGCCCGGTCCAGAGCATTTCCCTGGACGTGGACCGCAACATCATGGACATCAACTACTTCGGCCCCTGCACTCTGGCCAAAGGGGTGCTCCCCACCATGATGGCCCGCAGAGGAGGCCACATTGTGCTGGTCAACAGTGTCCACGCCAGGCTGGCAGTGCCCTTCAGGAGCTCATGTGAGAGAAGCTTAGAAGCATAGAGAGGACCTTTATTCCTTCCACAATGGGGAAATTTCATTGTTGTAGTGCACGTACAGGACAGTCGTAAGAGCACACAGAGAACACACAAAATATACAATATAAGTAGCTGCCATGTTTCTTAGCTGTAAATACTTCAATATCAATACATATACCGGTATATCTCTATCTATCTACATATAGTGTAAAGTTAAACACATATAGGGCAAGAGAATCAGTAGATAAAGTGACGTTCAGATGTGAGGCTTCTGTTCTGCCACCAATAGACACAAGCTCCAGAAGCTCAAGAACTCCATCCAATGAGTTAAACTGCTTTTTTCCATGTAGCAAAGAAAATAACAGAATTTAGCCAGAACATACATTATGAAATATGATTATAAACTGATTATGAAGCACTGTTACGAGCCACAGGTGGTAGTGTCGAGGACAATGTTTCAAGACAAAGAACAGAGACCGGAAGCAGTGGTTCAGAAAAGCAATATATGAAACCAGTGTGGGCGGGTCCCGGCTCCAAATGGGCCATGAGCATGTGTGCTGACATGCTTGCAATACCACTACGGGCCGGTGGGGGTGTACCCGGAATAAGAATTACACAATACTTTCTTTACTCGAAACAAAAACGGCTTTATATGATGGTACCAAAGTCGGCTCTTGGCTTCAGATGCTGAGGGAAGTATTTTTTTTTGGACCAGTCTAGTTTAGCTGTTGTGGACTTCAGAAGGCACTTGTTAAATGAATGGTTCTGGAGTTGGCCAACGCATGCGCAAATGCGTTTTTTCACATTTTCCTACCCTGCAGCCATTTTGAAAAAGGCCCATAGAAGACAAAATTGGGGGCACATTAGTTGATATTTACAGTCTATGTATGAAACCAATGAATAATTACTATTATTATTATTACTATTATACAACTGCTGGAAAAAACAAGCTACTCTCCACATTAGATAACAACATGAATTTCAACAGCAATGATGCTTTTTCTACTTAAATGCTCTTCCACTGCAGATGAAACAGATTATAATTGTTACACTGATGTGGTTGTCTGCAGACTCGGCCTCCAAGCACGCGGCCCAGGCCTTCTTCGACTGCCTGCGTGCGGAGGTGGAGGAGTTTGGCATCACGGTCAGCACGGTCAGCCACACCTTCATCAACGCCTCTGAGCCCCCCACCCCAGAGCCCACCCCCCAGGAGAGCCAAGGCAGCCTGCAGGGACGCCTCCGGGCCTGTGAGTCTGGATGCTAGATGCACTTCCACATGTAGTAATAACTGTATATGTTCAAAAGACCCATCTCTGCCAGATCGCACACACTATTTCAGTGAGCAGTTCTGTCATGGCCTCACACTCTCCAGACATCTCTGGCTCTGGATCGCCATATGCAAACCGTCACAGTGTGTGTTGAAGGTCCTGGTTTCCCAGGCCAACAGGACAACATTGTCTGGTCTTTGAACCAGAGTGTGTGTGCGGAGGTGAGTGAGGCCAACTATCTCTAATCCGTATCTCTCAACCTACTCCACAAGCTCGGGCTGTTTCCCCCCCAGTGAGGTGACGTTCCACGTCCCAACAGCCAGATGTTGTGTGCGCGGACCAGGTCGTCGAGGTCTCCGCCTTCGACTGACGCCCAGTCCACTCTGCACTGTCCCACCATGGATCCCTCTGTGGGTGGTGGCCCCACAAGAGGGCTTGTTTTTAGAGAATACTCATTTAATTAAAACATACCAGGTGAGTTTGCACACATAATGCTTACTATATGTGTGCAATTTCATCCAACTAAAGTTGAAATAAATAAATAAAAGAAGCGTGAACTGAGTTTTATCCTAAGATAAGCTTTTTACATAGTTGATTGATTTGACGGGCGACATTAGCTCAGTTGGTAGAGCATTGGCCTTAAGGCCAGAAGGTCGTGGGTTCAATTCCCACCTCTACACCTTCTCCACCGACTCCCACTGATGACTGCTGTCGTTGTGTCCTTGGGCAAGACACTTAACCCCACTTTGCCCAAAGCCCCCGCTGAAAGATCAAGGCTATGCTCACACTCAGAGAGCAGCCGTCCTCCTGTGGACTCACCACCTGCAGAGGGTCAGTGAGGGGCTGGTGCTATGAGACTTGGGTGGCATCTCTGACTGCCACCCCCCTGACCCAGAAATGGATTAAAGGGTAGAAAATGGATGGATGGATGGATTGATTTGACAACAAAAAAATCAGAGAATCAATCGGTTCAAACACAGAAAATGCAATAATAAACACATCGAAGCCATTGGTTCCCTTGAATTAATGACCATTTATTTGTCCTTGATCTGGAAAATCTGGAACAGTCTTCCTGAAAATTTGAGACTGGCTTCTTTTCTGACAATGTTAAAATCCAGGTTAAAAACAGGTGCAACAACTGAGGGATTTTGTCTTCTCTCTTTTCAATTCCAAGTGTTTTTTTGTGTGTTTTTAATGCCTTGTCTGATTGTTTCTGTCATGTTTTGTTCTGCACTCTGAGTTGCCTTGTGTATGAACTGTGCTATACAAATACACTTGCCTTGTGTATGCAGGGCTGTCCCGTTATCTGAGCCATGGTGTGCGTCCCTCCACCCTGGCCCAGGAGGTGCTGCTGTCAGTGTCCCGCAGGAGAAGGGAGGTGCTACTGTCCCATCCCCTCCCCAGAGCAGCCCTGTACCTGCGCTCTCTGCTGCCCCCTGTGCTCTTCTCTGTGCTGTCTGCAGGGGTGCGAGACTCGCCGCTCACTGAGCAGTGAACCACTTTCAATTTGACTGAAGACTATACTCAAAGCTGGTGTGTGTAATTCTCAAAGCACAACAAAAGAACTCATAAAACTAATAAAATCCATGTCACAAGTTCCTGCCTCTAAAACAGTTGCCTCTATCACGAGTTTTCACATGTGTCTGTTTTTGGTCTCTTGTCACATCTTTAGTTCATGTTGAGGTCGGAATTGCTCATTTTGCTCTTTCTGAAAAACTATGTATGTTATTTATGAAACAAAACACTTACGCTTAGTTTTCATCTTTAACTAGACAAGATTTAAGTTTCTATTTACCACTTTCTTCATTTTCTCTTTCTAAGAATCACTATATTTCAGCCTGTATTTGTTTCCAAAAATTTTTCAGCCACACTGCCTTGTTTCTTATCAGAATCAGAATTATTTTTATTGCCATTGTAAGTAACAGGAAGTGACAACCTCAGTATTTTCTTTGGCTTACGCAATTAAGTTGTAGGAGTAAAAGGTGAAGGCATGTGTACAAAAAAGAAAAACTTTACTACATACAAGTGTACAAAGTACACACAATAGACATTTAGCAGTGCAGTAAAGTGACAGTAGTATAAGTATTTGTGATATCTTCAGAGAAAAAATGATACTTGTTATGATTAAAGGCACTCTATTGATGGTACATATGGTGATCCTCGTGATGGCCAGCAGAGGGCAGCACTTACATTGTGTTTCTATCGCTTCCACACTGACCCCACATGTTCTCTGGAATAATTGAATGAAGCTGATGAAAGTATTGTCCCTCGTGTGACTTGTTTGTAGTTGTAGAACCGCTTCTTTCTGACCCACATGGAAGCAACGGCTTGGAAAAATTCAGACTGAACACGCCTCGACGAAAAGAGTAGGTCGGGTTGTGGGTTAAATGGTGAGTCAGTGTCAAACAACAGGAAGCAGCAGGAAGCAATGTGTGCATGAGGGTCGGCACTTAGATCATATACGGAATCGGGACGGAAGTTACAATCCGACTTTCGGATTAGTTTTAGACTAATAAATTCTTAAAGAGTTGACTGGTTAAGTTGTAGGTATCTTAGAAAGATGGGTAAGGGTGGGTTGGGTTTTTTCTGTGGGAATGGCTGGTTAAGTTTAGGCATGGATCTATTAGTTTAGGTAGTTGGTTATATTTACTTCTGATTCCGTATATGATCTATAGTGCCAACCTGTGCATGAGGGGAGCCAACTGGTGCAATGGAAAATAAGATAAGTTAAGATTTATCGTCCTCCACAGAAGAGACGTGTCACCACAGACATTTACATACAGCACAGTGTAGACATTAAACAAACCAAAACAGACTCCGGTCTGAGACATAGGACCATAGAGCAGTGTTTTTCTACCAGTGGGCCGTGGCACATTGTTGTGCCTTGAGATGTTTGTTAGTGTGCCTTGGAAATGATCCAAAATCATCTGCTCGGTAAAAATCATGTGAAAAGAAAATAATGTGAGATGACTAGACTAGAGTGATTTGTTTGTGCTTGTTTGATTTGCTATATTATTCACATTGTTAAAGCTGCACTATCTGACTTTGGGATTTCGAAGCAGCGGACTCGCTGGCCTCGCTCTTTCTGCTCCCCTCCCCGCACCCACAAAGCTATCGCCCCCTACTACCGCACACCCACTGTTGTTCACAGAGCTAGCGTCTCCCAATATGGATAGAATCATGTATCGTACATTTGAGCGTGGCGTGACCATGGAATGATAGAACCGGGAAGCGCAGAGGAACGAGACTTTCTTTTGGATGGCTGTCTCGCTGTGTAAGCAGTAACCGGTGACAAAGACAGGAAGCTTCAGGTTAGCTCCGCCGCTTGTTGCGCTAACTCAGCTGTCTATGCTAACAGACCTGCAGATTTCTCACAAAAGTGGGGGCCAGTGGTGCGCTGTGGTTGGTCACAATCTGAGACCCGAAACACATTCTCTTCCTTGTTTCATCAAACCTCGATCTAAAATATAATGTCACGCCAGCACTAACCTGCGCTACTTTTTCTTCAAAAGGACGTATATCCCAATGCACTGCATGGACATGGATAGCTTTTTCGTAATGAATACAAACATAAAGTCAGTTAGTGCAGCTTTAATAAAGGCTGTAGCGTTTCAATGTTGTATCATATTCAGTGGTGTGCCATGTGATTTTTGCAAAGATAGAGGTGTGCCATGGCTCAAAAAGGTCCGGAAACACTGCCACTTGACATCAGGACTGGGAGCACCCCACAATCATTCCATATCTATACCTCCAAATACAATTCCCACATCACAGCATGGACTCCTGTTGTGAGCGTGTGCTGTGACAAAGGGCCCCTGTCAGCTGGTACTCGGGCCCTTCACTGTGTCCCAGGGGCCCCACCTCTGCTCCTCAGACACACTCAGTGACAGGAGATACGAGTGTGAAAAGGTCAGACTCAGGGCAGACAGGCAGGGGCCAAACACAGGCGTCACAGAAGGACAGGGCAGGGACGTCCCAGGTCACAGTGAGTGGAGAGGAGGCCCCGGAACATAAAGAGAAGTGACCACGACATAGAATCAATCCTCTATTGTTTTTAAGTGGTGTTTAGGTGTGTTTGATGTGGACCAGTTGTGAATTGTGTTAAAAAGCAAACAACATCATACAATATTATATAAGAGGTCCTTTATTCTTCCCACAGTGGGGAAATTTCAGTGTTGCATCACTAAGATAAGTGAACAATAACTCTACTAAAATAGAATGAGATTAGAAAATAAAAGTTTAGCACACTAAATAAGCAAGTCTAAAATCACCAACTGTAGCGTAGTAAAGAAGTAAGAATTAAGTGTAAAATAGCCTAATACAGAAGCAATTATAATGTACTCTATATTCTAGTGCAAGATATGCAGTATATAGGTGTATGTATACATGTGTAGAGGTTAGCAACATGAAGGTCTGGGACTAAAAAGTAACTCAGTAAGGTGACAGTGGATACATGTTATTTCATATTACACAGATGCACGACATGTGAGGACAGGACAATAAACTCTTCCCTGTTCTCCATATTGCCCTGTTTTCCCTGGTCACATTCTTATTTGGGCATATGTCTCGGCATGTGCTGACTTATAGAGGTGATACGGAGGTTGTGCGAATGCTAAGTTTAAACGTGCACTGGGGACATCTCTTCTTTGAAATATGTTCTGCGGCTGTCATAACTGCTGTGATGATTATCATGAACATGACACTTAGCTCTTCAACAGGCTTCACTTAAACACGACTGGAATAGAAAGTATCATGGCAATGGCAATAGGGAAATCTGAGGCCCCCTTTAGATGGAGACGCTGCAGAGACGCTGCAAAGCAATTAGCAAAAACGACCAGGCTCCTGCACAACGTTTAGACACCGGCAGAAAACAATGCTGCCGTCTAGAATGTAGTTCAAGCGCCCGGCCAGTGGGGGGCAGCGGAACTTAACAGCACGACACGCGCGACAATCAGCAGTATATTCACTTTCGTAACGACATCTTACGTCTTACGCCAGGGCTAAGACGTGAAAAGACGTGAAAGAACCAACATCATTCTGCATTTAACAGTAACAGCAAAAATGGAAACTGAAACTACAGCTTTGCGTGGTTTTGTTTGGACGAAGGAGTAGAATTCTCCTCCGTGTAGCGCTCGAAGCACAAGTAGCCAGTTAGTGTACCCTCCGCCATTGTTGTTTACGTTTGTTCTCGGCTAATGCACTGGAGGTCATAACAGGCAGAGAATTCACACCCTTTTCTCCCTGTTTTGTTCCACTCTGGAGGCTGTTTATAAACACTTGCGTTTTTACCTGAAACACTGTCTTCATGTAAACGAAAGGCCAAACCAACTTGTAATTGTAGTGTCGTAGTGTGTCTGTCTAAACAGGGCCTGAGGGTGTTTGCATATAACTAGGATAACAGCTTCTACACATGGCAGAAACCGCAGCAGTTAAGTGTGTAAGTGAGTATTTATTTTGTTTATGGAAGTCCTGTTCCTCTAAAATTACAAACCTTTTAGTGGTTACAGTTAGTAAGGTTAGTAGTTTTCCTTCCTGCTGCTGTCAGACTGTACAGCGAACAATGACGACCTTGTCACTCTGACCTCACATGCGGTGCATTGGTGCAATAGTTTGAAATAAAGTCAGAATGTGCAATATTGAACCACTTGTGTCACTTTGTCCCATACCCTCATGCTGTTGACATGTACATATTTTTATGTTCAATACTTGCTTCTTTATTTTGCTAAAGTTAGAGATTTAATTTGCTTTTAGTTTATGAGTTTTTGTTCATAAACTTGTTATTTGTGTGCTGTTTGCTCTTCTTTCCTACTGTTCTGTAACTGCTGATGCAATTCTGAAATTTCCCCACTGTGGGGTGAACAAAGCATCTCTGAATCCTCATCTAAGAGATTTAACATGGTAAAGACCATGATATAATTCAAATACAAAAAAAGGGGCTAAAATGACCCCATCTCCTACATTACATCCACTTTACATGCTTTACATGACGACAAAACAAGAGTGTTTCTTGGAGATACATTTAATTTTTCCACATGAGTTTGTTTAATACTCTGCGTTCCTTGAGAAACATGTAACATCTAATCTGCATCCTGTAATCCCTCAGATTACACTCATACTTCTTAATCCTGAGGCGTTCTCCAGGCTGGCCCCTGACGCCGCTGTGGAGCTACTTTATCTGCACATTCTGGAGAGAGAAGAGAGGCTGGGCCGATGGGAGTAAAGAAATATATTACTATTGATATAGTGATATAATTCCACAAAGGATTAAATCGGAACAAAACCTGTAATCTACATGCTTTTAAAGGAGACATATGGTATGCAGATGAAATAACTGACATTATCTTTCACACTAAACCTTTTCAGCATTCTCTATCGGGATGTACAGTAGCACAATCCCAATAATATGCATTTCTTTGATGCTTTACTCAGAAATGACTACGTTTTCTTGAGTCAATAGAAATATTCTTTTAAAAGAAAGCAGCGTGTGAACAAATC